GCACCTGTGACAAAAAGGTGTACATAGCACCGTCTGGCGGAAGACAGACACATATCAATGAATAATTAGGGCACAAAGTGGTCATTGCTAAAACAGAGGCAAGTGCCAAGAATTACTGGAGCATATTGTGGGGTGGACTCTTCCTGGGGCAATGAGTGAGTCCTGAAAGAGTTGACAAGGCAGAGAAAGAATGGATGGAAGGGTTAAGGGCATGAGGCCTTTCAGGCGGGAGGAAATCACGGGAGAGGCATGGTGGTCTGAGGGTGTGTGGCAGATTTGGGGAGAGTTTCAGCGTGGACAGAGTGGCTAGGTCACTCCTGGAGATGAGGCTGGAAGAGGAGATTGGGGTGAGATCATGAAGGCTCTGGAGTACCACACGGACATGAGTGGAACAACGAAGTGTATCCGATGTTACTGGAAAGTCACTGCTGGGTTTTGAGCAAAGGATTGACGTTAATACATCGCATTTTAGGAAGTCAACTCTGATAGCAGAGATGATAGACAGGCTGGGTGGTCACTGGAACCTCAGGGGCGTCCTATATGTGCCAGGACCAGGCTTGCTCAGTGGGTACCTGGAATCCCACTACGCACAAGCCAGTGTCCCACATGAGTGGCCCTCCCCTAATGATGCTGAGTCTCAACACAGATCATTCTGGCCCTGTGTGCATGTAGTATCCTCGAGAAACTGCTTGTTCCCCCAAGTTCTCAAAGACTTTCATTTCCCGTACTCACGCCCTGTGTTCTCGTGCGTGGCATAACCTCCGTGGATGGCCTAGGCCCCTGTACGTGTATCAGCCTAATGTCATGTGGGTGCAACCAAAGCCTTCTAAGAACCTCTCATTCTGATGCCACCCACATTCTACTTTTCCCTTCTCAAATGGGTGCCCCAACCCAGGCAAGACTCTTGTGACTAGCATCTCCCATATGTCAGCAGTGACCTTAAGTTGCCCCAGGCTAGTGGACTACCATTCAAGGAATCTGTTTCTGCAGCTGGATATGAAGCCCAGGACAGCTAAGTTCATCAGGATTCCTCTCCAGAAGCTCAAGCAAGGGGCTTAAAAGAAGCTCTGCTTGTCACAGAGTGAACCCGTTCACATGATTCCTGTCCACGCGCCAGGCTGCCTGAAATTGGACCCACCAGGGATGCCGGCTCTATGATGTGAGGTCAGCCTGGCAAATTCTGGAAACTTAAGGGACACAGCCTGTGTCTTGGGAGGAGTGATGCTCTGGGCGCTGGAACAATGGACTTCCAGTTCCGTAAGAGACTGTGGATTGAGAGATGGTCCTTCCAGCTATGACAGCCTGGGCTGAAGATTTGAGCTTCTGTCCCTGTGCCCAAAGCACAAATCCACACAGCCAGCACTGGACAAACGTCCACCTAGGGCGTGCCCCACACCGTGGTGGGTCCCACCAGGGGGTGAATACACACAGGTTCCTCAGAGGCCATGGATCCCATGACTTGGTAACTCCCAAGACCAAGGCCCTTCACTGTGTTCTTTCTCCAGTGGGTGGAGAACAGTGGTGGGAGCCAGTCCATCTTCACTCCTCTCCCTAAAGACCCTGGGAGTTAGTCGGGGGTCTGGGAAAGGCCACGAGGAATGAGGAAAAACCCTATTATTTCAATTTTGTGAAGGTTGACAGGAAGGCTAAATATTGAGAACCTCTTCCACTTAGGAATGCTCCGTGCTATTTTTCTGGGCATTCTTGTGGGACTCCGTGCTATGGGGTTTCAGCTCAGAACACAGCCACCATTGCTATGAACTACCGTGTGCCAGGCAGTGTACCGGGGCTGTGCCAGCTGTGTTTATTCCTCACAGCAACTTTGTAAAGGCATTACAAGGATGCCTGTTCTGCAGATGAAGAAATAGAGCCACAAGGAGATTATGGAATTTGCCCAAGGTCACATCATAGGTCGCAGAAGCAGGATTCTCACCCAGGTCTGCCTTCCGTAATCTTTGTCCTCCACTGACAAGCCTAAACCTTGCCATATTGATGACAGTAGTCTTGGGTTTCCATCACCACCTCCTACCACACAAGTCTGTGCAGTATTAGAAGGAAGGACGACAAGGATGGGGTCCCCTTTCCAAAACTTTTCATCATATACCTGGGGGGGGGCATAGTCTCTCAGGTCCTTGTGCACATAGGTGGGCAAAGACAGAGTTGGTTCCACCAGCCAGAGAGCCTAGAACCTTGGGGCTGGTGGGCCTTGGTGGTCTGGCCTTGGCACTGGAATCCAAGCTCCCAGAACGTCCAAGCTGGAGGGTCCCTGGAGATGAGTAAGCTCCTGTGAGGTGGCAGGTAAAGACACTGACTCGGGAGGACACGAGCTACCCGAAGCCACAGAGCTAGTTAGAACGCTGTGTGTGTGAGTGTGTGTGTGTGTGTGTGTGTGTGTGAGTGTGCGTGCACATGCACATCCTGGAGATGACAGTGGGGGCCTCCTATCTCCCAGACCCTACGGATGAGTTCAGGTGAGAAGGCCTTGGAGCCTTCGTCCATATCCAGAGTGGTGGCCCACGAAAAATGTTATTTTAAAAATGTGTTTTGTTTTAACGTAAGTAGTGTCTTTGGGACCAGGTGACCCCAAGAAGTGTCAACAGGAGAGTGGCGGATGAGACACAAAAGAGAAGGAAGCCAATGTAGGTTCATTAATGATCAGGTCACTGCTTTGGGCAACTGGGGTTCAATCCCATGGGGCACTTCTGGGAGATGGTGTGAAATGTGTCTCAGGGCTGTCCTGCCCAAGAGACAAGGAAGCTGGGGTATTTGTCTACCAGCCTCCACTATCATTGGTTGAGTACTGCTACTGGGGGGCATCAACTCCTTAGAACCTCTTGCCAAGCATCCTCCAGCAGCATAAAGAGAGCAAAGGGCTATTTTAAAAGGTGTCTGGTCTCTAAAGACTCTTGAAAACCTTTTAGGGTTAAGAAGCCTTGGGCATCAGTACCAAGGACAGTGCAGAGAAGAGATGGGTGAGACCCAATGCTGTCCCCAGGAGGCAAGCTGTGCTGGGGGTGGGACAGGGCTACTTCCATGGGCCCTGCGGGAAGAATGGCCATGTCCTATCACAAGAGGAGCTGAAGTTAGATCTTAAAAAGAACTTCCTGGTGATACTAGTGAAAAAGCCACGTACTTAGAGCCCATCCAACTATACAGCTTGATTGATGGCCACAGAAAAAATGACCAAGCAAAGAAGCATGCAGTGGCAAGGAGTTTGAGGCTCCTTGTCACTAGGGCTGGCCAATGAGCTCTTCTTTATCTGTGTTTGCGGGGGTGCAGGGCAGTGCTGGGGGGACAGATGAAGTTGAATGAAGAGAGGATTCTTCACTCCACCCTTGCTTATTCTAGCACCAGGAGGCTCCAAAGTTTGGGTGGAAACAAGAGCTTGAAAAGGTCCCTTCTCTGGCACAATTTGGGGCATCTTACATGGGACAAAGCCGTGGAAGAAATAAGCCCTAAGGTTGACTGGCCCTCAACCAGAGCCAGCCCACCTCCCTGGGCCCCCACTCCTCATATGCGAAAAAGGGAGATGGGAAGGATGAACTAGATAACCTTAGAGACTCTGTCCACTGCTGAGGCCATGCCAGTAGCCTTGGGTTCTCTTCAATTCATCCTTCAACAAGTGTTTACTGAGCCTTCGTTGTTTGCTCAGCACTAACTGGGGAGAAGGGATTCGCATAGAATACAAGCGCCGGGCTCTGGTGGGGGCGGGGAAGGGAGATGGGGGAAATAAGAGTTAAGGTTTACGGAGCATTTAGTCTGTGCCGGGCACTGTGCTAAAACACCTCACATACGCTGACTCCCTTACGCCTTGCATGACCCCGTAGGGCAGGTACTAGTGCCTCCTCTATACTGATGAAGAAACCAGGGGTCAGGGAAAAAGCCTCTTGACCAAAGCCACACAGTAGTGGGGCTGCACCGGAGCCCACACCGTGAGCCAAGATGCTTCTCCTCTGTGAAGGAGGCGGTGACTCTCTGGTGTTCTAGCAGATGGAGCCTGAAAGCTGGAAACATCGGAAAGGCTTCATGCAGGAGATGGCTCAGCACTGGGCCTTGGGGACGGGCAGAATTCAGAGGCTGGCCGGGGAGGGGAGCAACCTGAGTGTAGCAGCCCCCCGGGCAGCCAGTGTCGTCTTAGAGGAGGCGGGTGGGCAGCAGCTATGGCCAGCCTGCTGGGCTCCACAGGAAGAGAGTAGGGGCTGGGGAAGAACAGATACTTCATAACCCAAGCCAGGATTATAAGCATCACTCCTCCCCCAGCCGCTCTGGGCAGTCTACAGAGGGAGCTGGCTCAGCGAGGATCGAGGATCGGCTTCCTTCCAGCTACTTAAGCCACAGGCCAGAAAGCCAGGCCATTGGTAATTACGGTAGTTAACACACATAGAGCAGGGACCAGGCCAGGCCATTGGTAATTACGGTAGTTAACACACATAGAGCAGGGACCAGGGGCCAGGCCATTGGCAATTACGGTAGTTAACACACATAGAGCAGGGACCAGGGGCCAGGCCATTGGTAATTATGGTAGTTAACACACATAGAGCAGGGACCGTGGGCCAGGCACGGCTTTAAGAAGTTTAACTAGCGTAAGCCTTCCAGCATCCTTATGACGTAGGCACTAGTATTATTCCTGCTTTATAGATGGGGAAACAGAGGAAACGTGAGGTTACGTAACCTGCTCAGGGCCCCAGAGCCAATAAGAGGCAGGGCCCAGCCTGGAACTCAGGCAGTCTACCCTTAAGCACCTGCTCTACCGCTTCTAAGCAGGTTCCTGAGCTGCGGCCAGTGCCAGCCACTCCCTCCCTCTGCCCCCCGGGGACCCTCCGCAAGTTCAGGCTCTCCTCCAGGGCTGGGGCCCTTCCCTAATGGGGACCGCAGGAGGCCCCCACCAGCCCCTCCGCTGGTGAGGCCCGTCGCTGCCAGAGGGCCCCAGCCCCCCTCCCCCGCACTCACATGCACCCCGCCCCTCTCCCCAACCGAGCACCGTTGCCTTTCGTTCACAGTGACGGCTCCTGCGCCCAGGCCGGTGCGGGCACGGAGGACTCCGTGGCGGCGGCGGCGGCGGCGGCGGCCGGCAGACCCAGTGCCCACGCCCCGAAGGCTCAAGCCCAGGAGCTGCAGGAGGAGGAGAAGCGGCCGGGGGCGGGGGGCGCCTCCCCGCGGGCCGGCCTCCACTGCGCGGCCTCCCCCAGCAGGCAGCAGCCTGTCCCGGCAGCTGCGCTCTGCGCCCGCGCCCCTGCCGCCTCCGATTACGAACTCTCCCTTGACCTAAAGAATAAACAGGTACCCAGGGCCTCCGAGGGGGGTGGGAAGGGTGGTGGAGGGCCCTGTCTCGGGCGCTGTCCAGGGTACCAGAGATGCCCCTGTCTAGGCCGCCTCTGCTGCAGGCAGACCTCTTTGCCTCTAGTTCTCCCAAACTGGACCAAGTGACTGCCCTTCCCTGCAGCCCAGTTCCTCAGGCAACCAGCCTTGCGTGGCAGGGGTCACCCTTGTAATGCCAGGCCCACAGGCAGCGTGTTCAGGGCTCTGCCCCTCTTACCACTGCAGGAAGACCAGCTGCTGACACTTCCCACCCCCAGAAGAGATGGCCCAGCTTACCTGCCCACCCAAGGGGCCAGCCCCATGCTCAGCACACACAGGCTCACATGAGGTTTGAAGACAGTGGTCTCCTCCAGGTAGACTGAGGAGTCCCAAGATTAGCCCAGACTGGGGGAGTCCAAAGACCCCCTTATTGGAGAACAAATTTCACTGAGGAGTTCTGAGCCTCCAGCTTCCATCCTGTGAAGCAGGAGGAGAAAGTAGTCAGTCACTGGGTCCCAGCTGAACCCTCCAAAATGATAACGGCATGGCTTGTTTGGGTGGGAAATTAAGAGACCTGAAGGAAGATCTGTGTGTGTGTGTATGTGCGAACACATTTAGAGAAAGAATTTATGACTTAATATTGCTAAGAAAGAGCATGGAGCACAGATGTGGGATCCGATCCTTGTTCTTATTCTAGTTCCTCTGTGACTTGGGCAAATGCCAGTTAAGCATTCTGGGCTTTGGTTTCCTTATCAGCAAAGTTGGGAATTAGATCTTGAATCATCTCTGAGGTCCCTTCTAGCTCTAAAAGGCGTAGGTTCTAAAGAACCATTCTTTAACCCAACGGACTGTGAGTTTTCGAAGCGAAGCTAATAGCAAAGTCACTAAGACTGAGTCAAGCCCAACCAAAGTCTTTTCTTCCTTTCAGCATAGATGTCGAGCTATTATCCAAGGTCAGGGGCTGCAGGCGGTGCACCAGGCTTCAGTAAAGTATTTGACAAAATCTCCCGTGATATCTACGTGGACAGGATAGGAAGTGGGTTAGTTGACAGTACAGTCGGGTGGGCCGTTCTCAAACGGAATTGTCAAAAAACACTGATTTTTCTATCAGTGCCAATGCCAGGGTCATTGAGTGGGGCACTGTCCTTGGTCCTGCCCAGGTCAAACATTTCTAAAAAGGACTGATGCAAAGCTGAAAGGGGAACGCTAATACCTTGATGACAGAATCCCAGATTTGAATAAAAGAAAAAAACTCATTAGGTAGTATTGTTTGAGTGGAAAAAAATCAGATGAAAGAGGGAAAAATCTAAAGTTCTGTTCTTAGCTTTGAAAATCCCACAGCACTACTATTAGATGAGCAGGCTTGGTCGTGGGCGAGAGGCCTTCGGGATTCAGTTGACTATAAGCTCAAGGTGCGTCAGTAGCCCATGAAGCAGTTGCCAATGATATGGTCCAGCAGCCTTCACAGATGGGTGGATAAAACCCCCCGTGTAAGGGCGCAGCTGCCTGGAGCCCCACACTAGTTACTGGTCAGGCTGTCTGGTTCTAGGGGTTTCATTTAAGAGGGAAAAAGAGAATCTTGAGGTTCTAAGGTTCTTCTAAGAAAGAAAACAACTGGCTGGGGTCATACAGGGAAACTGTAGACATGAAAACCAGTTTTAGACATGGAAGAGCTGGATGTGAATTGGCGGGATTAGATTATTTTCTATCATTCCAGGTAAAAATAGTGATACTAATGCATGAGACTTGTAGGAGAGGAAGGGGTTTGTTTTTAGCTCCGTTAACAATTAGAGCTGTTAAAAATGTAGACTGTCCCGCTTCTGAGGTAGAGAAGGCCCATGCCGGAGCTGGGAGGCAGTCCATCTGGAACCGCATGCTGTGATGTGGGCGGTCAGCTGGCACAGATGAGAACGTCCTCTCAGTTCCACTCGGCTCCGCCCCTTGAGGACAGAGACCATGTCCTATTCATCCCATCCCCTGGCGTCCAGCAGAGTGCCTCGGGCAGAGTAAGAGCTTAGCGAGTGAATATTTTTTGAATAACTGCGATGTGTAAAACAATGAGGGAGTGGGGTACCAAAAAGAAAAAAAACATGGTCCCTACCTGCTCCCCAAAGAGATTTCAGTTCAATTTAAGGAGTATCCTGTTAGTAACACCAAAGGGAACTGGTGCTTCTGCTTGGGCAGGGAATTAGTTTTAATTCTAACTCATTAGTGGGGTAGGGAGGGTTGTGCAGGGTTCTGACGGGCACTGTGGACCTTTTTCATGGTGGGCATAATTCTAGTAGATGGGTTTGCACGTCAGGCCAGCAGCAGTGGGGCAGGAAAGATGAGGGCTGGTACGGGTGTGGTGGAGCCCTCGTGCCCTGGGGAATAGCCCGCCTCCCCTGGCCCCTGTAGCTCTCCAGGCCAAGACAGGCTAGGGGTGGGAAGGGGAGGGGAGAAAGGGACTGAGGGGAGCAGAGTGGCTAAAAACACAGCACACGTTTACAAAAGATGGAGCTGCACAACGCTCTCTTCTGCAGATGAACTGTGTGACCTTAGGCAAGTTGCTTAACTTCTCTGGGCCTCAGTTGCCTCATACAGCCCTTTGCCTCTACTGCTAACATTCCTACCCCCCCTCCTACTCCTGCACTGGCCTCATTCACTCCTTCTCTTGCTTTAGGACTTGCTCTCCCGCACCTTCCTCCTCGCTGGCAGCTCTCCCCGCCCTCCCAAGGCTGTGTTGGATGCCCCTTCTCAGTGGTCCCACAGCACCCAGGTGTTCCCTGACATAGCCTTTCAGCCCAGGATCACCATTCCTGTTTACTTGACGTCTCCTTTAAGGCAGGGCAAAGACATCCATCATGACACCCCTGGTGCCCGACACAGTGCCTGACATGAGAAGATGCTCAAAGGATGAAGAGGGGGAAAGTAACAGTTCAGTGACCTGAAGGGGATGGGGATGGGCATGAAGCCTGGGCCAGGTGCTGACTCTATCTCAGGTTTCTTAGAGATCTAGGATTTAGTATTCTGCTCCTGTGACCCTCATGAGTCACCCACATCCTGTGGTCCTTGGGCTGGAAGGGATCTGGGACAAAATCACTATCTCCCCAGTTCACCAACCTGCCAGGCCCGCTCCATCGGCCAGTCCAAACTCCCAGGTGTTTTCCGTGGCTCCTCTCTCCGCCCCGCATCTGATCCAGCCCCCCACCCCCCATACTACTCTTAACCACTTCCCAAGTCCCATCCTCTCCTGCCATCCCCCCCGCCCCGGCCCTAGGCCTGTGTGCCCCTGGGGAAGCCTCCTATAGACCCTCTGCTTTGACCTAGTCCCCACACCGCAGCTGCATCACAGCGGTCACGGTACCCCACATGGAGGCGCCCACGGCCCCTCGTTTTCTAGGGGACAAGGACTTCAGGCTCTGCCGCCCCCAGATCCGCCCCCACACCCTGCCTTGCTCCCGCTCGGGGCTCCAGCTGTGCCTCTTGGCTGTCCTTTGAGCCCTCATGTACTTCGCTTCCTCTGCTGGGAACACTCCCCACCCATCCCCGGTCACACTCACCTGGGTGATGCCTACTCACAGGTCAGTCAGGGCTCAGAGCCCCCGAGCCGGGGAGTGTGCTGTTCCTGAGTGCCCACGGCGGGCTCTGCCGTGTGGCCGCACCCCCCTCGTGAGGGCAGGGCTCTGTCATGCCCAGGCTGTTGCAGAGTGAGCAGATTGTGCTCCGAACGCCTCTGGGGTGCCGTTCCCTCCGCTGTCGGGGGAGCAGTGAGCACTGCCTGGGGGTGAGCCCCGGGCGCTGCCGGCCATGCCCGCCGTTGTTCCTGCGCCCAGCACAGCCTGGCGCCTAGGAACTGCTGGGTATTGGAGGAGCACAGGGATGGACGAGCCAATGAATGAATGAGGCCCCCAGGCTTCCCTGTTCTCCGTCCTGTGTGCCGACTGGCCCCCTCCCCGAGGCCCCACAGGGAGGAGACTGTCTTCCTTTGCTTGCTCTGCCCTCAACTCTCCCATTTCACCTCAAGGTGATCCTTGGGGCTCCACCCTAGAGGGAGGGGGCATGCGGACCCCTTGCGGGGAGGCTCCTTTAGGAAGTGGCCATGGCAAAGATACAGAGGGTACGCATGTGATTTCCAAATTCAAGTTCTCTAGGGAGTTTGTGTCCTGTTCTCTGCGCCTGTGGGGGAGCACCCACTGGAGCCCATCTGGGATGTCCAAACTGCATAGGTCTCTGTGTTGTCCAAGTCCAGCGGCCGTGGAGCTGTGGTCACAGCATCCAGGCCCTGCTCCTGAGTCAGGGTCCTGGGTGGCAGCCGCTCTCTGTCTGGAGAGCAGATCTCCTGGACCCCAAGCCTCAGGGTCCAGCCTCACCATGGGGCGTCTCTCAAGGGGAGAAGTGGTGGCCATGTTTCCAGGTCACTGTCCCGCTCTGGGCCTCAGTTTGCTCACTTGTATCTGAGGCTCTGTCCCACTCTGAAGGTGAGAGCGCTACCGCGGGCATGAGGGGCCCAGTGGACCAGCCTGCCGAGGGTGGCGGTGAAGGCAAGATGTGCCAGGGTGTTGCTCTGCTCCGTGGCCTCAGTTCGGGGAACGGCAGTGCACAGCTGCTGTGCTGGGCCCCATGCGAGGCCTGGGGGCACCGCGATGCGGAAGACGCAGTCCTGGGTCTCAGGGAGCTCCGGTGCCAGTGGTGGGCGCTGACACAGAATGGTACAGGCGACACTAACAGCACTGCAGAACTTTCTGTGCGTCATCTCCCCCATCTGCACAATGTCCCTGCGGGCTAGAGACTGTCACTGTCCCCATCTTAGGAATGATGGCTTAGTGATGTTAAGTGACTTGCCTAAGGACACATTCCTAGGTATGCACCCCGGTGTCCACGATTTTAACCCAGAGCCCTCCCCATCTGCTGCCACCGCGGTGAAGGGGTAGGTTCTGCGGAAGCGATGTGCAGGGCACTGCGGGCTCTTGGCACAGGGCACGTAGCCCGACCAGGGTTCA